TTTTGTTATTTATCTATTTTCAATTTGACCAGAGAGCGAAAGAGAGAAAAAAAGAAAGAGAGAAAGTGAAAAAGCAAGCTGCCAGGTCTGGGACTCGAACCGCTGTTGGCTATGTGGGAGTCCCATGCCCTTAACCACCGTACCACCTTCCAGCCCTGCTGTGTCATTCTTTTCAAAGTCCTTGTGGTATTCTGTTGTATGGCTACATCATAATGTAACTAGGCTTTTGGTTCATTCTAATATCTTGCTATTGCAAACGAAGCAGTGGTCCTCTTTTATGGGCATCATCTTGCATGTATATAATCATATCTACCTAGGAGTAGAACTGGTCAGGAGCGTTTACATTAGAAAAACGTTTGACGCATGTTGGCCGACTGGGTCCCAGGACGGGGGCTGTTACCTGTCTACTTTTCTGGTGGCGTATCTGATAGTCCCCTGTACCGAATAACCTCACCCACATCTCACGCTCCCAGGCTTTTTGGAATCTGCAGTTCTGATAGTAGTAAAAATACATAGTATTTTTCCTTTGTGTGAGCTCTGTTTGTTTGTTTGCTTTTTCTATTTGATTGTCGGATTGTTTTCTTTCCCCTTTTTTTCCCCCCCTTTGAACAGTTTTTTGCTATAGGGTGCGTGTGCTCACCAGAAAGAGAGAGACAGAAAGCGAGAAATCACCCCCCAGGGGGATGGCCATGCCGCAATCCCTTCTCCTCCATTCTCCTCTCAGGATCTTGGGCACGCATGCACCCGCACCCGGCGTGAGTTTAAGCCACTGGGTCTGGGACTTGAACCATGGTCAACTACATGGGAGTCCAGCGACGTAGCCCTTACACCAACTGCTGGTCCCCGAGTACCTGGTTCTTGAAAATCTGGAGATAAAATAGAAATCTCACACACAGTAGAAGTGAAACAAGACAAAATAGAAGTCTAAATTACATTTTTGTTGTTTCTGGCTTGAAGCACAGAGTACATGAAACTGTGTATACATATACCAAAAGCTTTTCCCCCAGAGCACAAACAAAATTTTTACAAATTAGCTGATCCACATACCCATGGAATACACTTTTCCCCTTATATTTTGGAATGAAAACTTCTTAAATAATTCAAGTCTTACAGACTCAGAAAACTTTGTTGATGTGTAATAGTAACAGATTATTGTACATATGAGTGGCATAATTTTAAATACATAAGATGATTGTTGATAGAACTGTCATATATTAATGAATACAGTAATAGGTTAACTACAACTTCCTTATAGCCTTTGGTGCTGTATTAAATAAACAGCAAATTAAACAAAGATCAACTACCAAGTTTAAGAATGTGAAAGTGGCAATTAATGAAAATGAAATCAGGTGAAACCAACAGGAATATTGGTAAATACATTCCTTAGTTCTGTATTAAATTAGTATAATGATTAATAAATCAAATATATAAGGAGGGTCTTAAAAATAAATGGAAAAATTGCATATTATGCAAAAACTATGCATGGATTTCAACTTTTTTTATATAAAAATAAATAGGTACTGTAACCCTATTTTTCCAAGAAGAGTTTAAAGTCTCCTTATAGACCTTTTTTTGGGGGGGGGCAGGAGGTTTTTGCTATAGGGCATGTGCGCTCGCCAGAAAGAGAGATAGAGACAGAGAGACAGAGAGACAGGGATCGAGAAATCACCCCACGGGGGGGGTTTTGGCCACACTGCAATCCTTCTCCTCCATTCTCCTCTCAGGATCTTGGGCACACACCCACACATGCCCGGCGTGAGTTTAAGCCACCAGATCGGGACTTGAACCACAGTCAACTACATGGGAGTCCAGGGACGTAACCATTATACTAACTGCCGGTTCCTCCTTACAGACTTTTGAATTAGGAATGAGGAAGCATCTGAAAGGTTTGTGCGGGATTGTTTGTATAGGAAAATATCTTGGGCCCACTGGATCTGAGGGCTTTCTAGCTATGTACCATGGACGGGTCCAGTCTTTGTGTCCTCGGATTTCTCACTTTCTAAATAATAGGGGTGGCGGCATCTATTCCGTAAGATCGTTAGAAGGGTTAAGTGAAGTAGCCACAGAGACGTGGGCGTGGGCACACAGTTCAGCCGGCTGTGCTGTGACGTGACGTCTGTGTGTTTCTGTGCTGTGACGTGTCATCTGTGCCTGGTTGTGCTGTATTGTGATGTTTGTGTTCCTAAAAGTCACTCCATGACACAGAATAACACAATAAAAGTCGCAGAGCTTTGGACACACAAAACAACTTAATACAGATGGTTGTGTCGTTGTACAGTGTGTAAGAAATACACACACACCGTGATAACTGTCCAAGACCAGGAGCGTACGTGGGGAAGTGAGTTTTTGAAAGGTTAGGCTCACCACGTCACTGCGAGGGGCAGGACGAGGGGCAGGATGAGGAAGAGGGTTAGGGTGCCCTGGCGGGGCGCAGCCCAGGCATGGGGAGTGTCCCGGGCAGCAGCAAGCACGGAGGGCTGTGTGCACCCTGGGCACGCCCGTGCAGCTCACTTCAGGGCCATGCACACTCGGGGCACACTCACAGCTCACAGAGAGCTCAGGGCGGTCTCTGCATTCCCTCAGACTGTTCTCTAACATTGAATTAAATTCCATGGTCAAAACTAGCACCAGAGTCCTGGAAAAGGCATGCAGAGCAGGGTTAGTGCTTGGCACGCGTATGCTGCGTTGTTCGTTTACGTTCAGAAAGCGGCGAGGCGTCGAGCATCAATGCGTAAAACATGTAGATAGACTAGAAATCACGTTCCACTCTCGGAGATGATGACGTTGGAAGAATTGGCTCATCAGCAGCTTATGTCTAAATGATAAGATAGTGAGGGAAATTTTAAGAAAGCAAACTGTAGGGACCAGCAGTTAGTGTAATGGCTATGTCGCTGGACTCTCATGTAGTCGACTGCAGTTCGAGTCCCGGACCCAGTGCCTTAAACTCATGCCAGGTGCATGTGCGTGCGTGCCCAAGATCCTGAGAGGAGAATGGAGGAGAGGAGATTGCAGCGTGGATATCCCCCCCGGGGGGTGCTTTCTCGCTTTCTGTCTCTCTGTCTCTCTCTGTCTGTCTGGCGAGCGCATATGCCCTATAGCAAAAACCTCCAAAAAAAGAAAAAGAAAAAGAGAACGCAAACTATAATACTGTTCTAAAGCAGTGGTTCCAGGCAGTCCGTCGGCTAGTTCTTCACATTTTCTAGGGGTAAATGTATAATGTTCTTGTAGTACATGGAGACAAGTGGGAAGCCTCTCCTTCCCTGCCCTTTCCCTTCCCTTCCTTTCCTTCTTTCTTTCCCTTCCCTTCCCTTCCCTTCTTTCCCTTTCCTTTCCCTCCCTCTCCCCCTTCTTTCCTCTTTCTTTTTAACTTTATTTTGTGGGGGTGGGACAGAAGGTGTGCGCTCACTAGAGAAAGGGAAACCCCCACGATGAGGCCTGCTCACGCCACAATCCCTTTACATCCATTTCTCCACCCTGTCATGATTTGGAGCATGCACACACGTGTGCATCCATTTCTCCATCCTGTCATGATTTGGAGCATGCACACACGTGTACCCCATGTGTTTTTCAAGCCACTGGGATTGGAATTTGGCAAGCAGTCAGCGATGTGGGGCCCAGCCACCCCTAACCACTGGCCCCCAGCCTTGCAATATAATTTTTGACTCCCCCAAAGCTTAGCTACTGTGACTGCAGCCTATTGCCGACTAGAAGCCTTACCAGTTAAGTGCCGGTTATGCACATTTTGTATGTTGCATGTATTTATATGCTGTATTTTTACAATACATTAGCTAAGGAATGTCATTATAAGAAAAACCATGTGTAAGTAGATCCATGCAGTTTAAAACCGTGTTGTTCCAAGGTCACCTCTACAAGTATTCTACAATTCAAAACATGTCAGAAACTCAAAGCATCGTGGATAAGGGATACTCAGCCTGTCCCGGCGTTTGGCAGGCACCCCGCATTTTCAGATGAGAAAGCCACCGCAGAGACCTGACGTCAGCAGCCTGCAGTCATGCCCTGGTGCTGGCCTAGCCAGGCGTCTGGCCCTCGGCCACGCCATGCCCGCCGAACTAGGTGCTTTCCAGCAAATGAATGAACACACGCCACTGACTGCAGAACTGGATCTGAACGGGACCCGGGTTGAACCTGAGCTTTCAATCTGAGAACTGCTGAGCTTGAACGTGTCGCAGAATGAGATCGTGTGACACGGCCACTCTGCGGAGAAAACCTGGGAGAGCTTTGGCTCTGGAGCCGCAGTGCAGGCGTTTGAATCCTGGCAGTGACCCTGGCCGAGTGGAGGCTTACCTTCCATAGACACAACCTAAGTATGAATGGAAACGACCACAGACCAACGCTGAGTGACACGTCTGAGCTGTTTATCACGTGGACGAGTTCTGATATTTTACATTTACACTTTATTTTGCTTTTGTATTGTAGGAGAAGCTGCTGTCTAGATCTCTTCAGAGGGGTGAAGATCTTCAGTTTGACCAGGTATATCAATTTTGAGGGAGTATTTTTTTTTTCCTAGAAGGAAAACATTTTTTATAATAGTCTGGTTCAAATATATGCAATATTAAAAAATTCCTCTATTTTTGTTTAGTGATCCTGTGTATTACACACTAGATTCTGGAATTACGGTTCTTAGTTTAGTTTTACCAGAGGGTGCATGAGCTGACTGGAGTTGGGTTGGGGGGATGCAAGGAAGGACTCCCCTCCAGGACATGACAGTGCCCCAGGCCTGTCTCCTCCACCTCTCCTGCCCTTTGATATTGTGTGTGTACACATGGTGCGTGTGCCCGGAATCCAGGACTCATACCACATGGTCGGCCCTGTCGGACTCGGCCACTGAAACCACCACATTGGCTCTGGGTTTTTATTTTCGTTTTTGTTTTTGAAATAAATGATAGAATGAACTCTGAACTTTATTGATTTGAGTTCATTTAATATCTTGAAACATTTTTACTTTTCATTGTTAATCTTTTTAATGTGCCTTTTGAAATTGTTCTCAGAAAACTTTCCGTTACATGCCTTGGTCTTTCCCGTGTGTATCCGCTACATCTGGACATACGGGTATTCACCTTGGAGCATTCAGTCTTCTTCTGTCAGAGCTCTCAGAACCTGCATGTAGAATGCCAGTGTCGAAACCTGTGCGGTATTTTCCTAACGTTAATTCTTCCTCTTGCTGAGTAAATGTTGGGTCAAGGGTTATTCTGTCATCGTTCTTTTATTAGATGTTGGTAATTTGGAAAACAGAAAGCAGCCCAGATTAGCTTTCTGTTGCCATCTTTTGGGCTGTTGGAAAAGTCATGACATATTTTTCCCATCGTCATGACAACCTGGTGGTGTTTGGTCTGTCACTTCACTCAGAAGTGTGTGTCTGAGGAGAAGTTAGTGTCCGTCTCGGGCCAGTTGAGTGACTGAAGGAGACTGGTTAGAATCCCCACTGGATGCTACTCCGGTGCCGCAGCTCGGAATGACCGAGAACGTGCCCTGGCCAGTGTGTAAGCCACTCCCAGGTGATTCTCAGGTTTACACTAGCGAACAGCCTCTGGCCCCAAAGAAGCCTAAACGGGAAGGCAAGTCCTCTGTTACCGTAATAACAAGATCACCTTGTACAATGTTTTTCAAATCTTAAACTACTACAGAAGTTACATTAAGAGAAAAATCTAGGGACCAGCAAATGGCATAATGGTTACATCGCTGGACTCCCATGTAGTCAACTGTGGTTGAACCATCCCCAGCACTTAAAACTGAGCACGTGTGCATGCGTGCCCAAGATCCTGAGAGGAGTATGGGAGGAGAAGGGATTGTGGTGTGGCCATTGCCCCCCCCGGGGGGGGTGATGTCTTTTTTCTGTCTCCAGCGAGCACACACTCCCTATAACAAAAATCTTTCTTAGACACACAGATAAAAATCTTAAATTATGTTTACTTATTTATTCCATGAGAGAGAGAACAAGAGACAGGCTCCCTGCATGGAGCGTCATGCTGTAACCCACCGCTGTCCCAGCCAGCCCGCCAGCAGGTACGCCCACGTGCCCACTGTGCTCTGGGAGGTCCTGGAACGCAGACCCACGGCCTCTCCTACAGGGAGGTATTTGGACCGCTGTTGCACCATCACCCAACCCTTACAAAAGATGTGTAGATCGTTCTCATCTCGAATCCTCGTCAGTAATCAGTGTGTGATCAGGATTCAAAATCTGATTAGGCAACTTTCTAAGGAACATTTCTGTTTTCTTATGACATGATTAGTGAGACTGTACCTGAGGCAGGAGTTGCACTGGCGTGGCAGTGATGCCGTGCTCTGTGAGGCTGGGTCCACACAGGAGGGTCCTGGGCGCACATCCATGGGTCCCCGTACACACCGGGCCCGCCAGGGGACCCACCATCCAGGCTGCTGAGGACCTACTGTGATAGAGTACAGCATGAGGACCTTGTCAGGTGCCTGTCCCCCTCCCACCCTATCTGCCTTTCTCTCATGAAAGAAATACAATGAAAAGAAAAATTTTTTAAAAGCTACAAATGATCATGCCTCACTGGCAGGTGTTTTCTTCCCCCCGCCCCACAGTAGAAAGCTATATGTGGTATTGATATGTGTTTTAATATGTGTTCGCGGTAGCATGGGGTTTTAATTGGATTTACTTTGAATGTTACTGTTCATTAATACGAATATGGTAAAATAAAATTAGAATCTGGTTTTTACTTTAATTCTCTATATCAGAAATTGTTTACTTGTCAAATGATGGTAAGTATTAATAAAGGATGATTAAAGGAAAGCAGAAGTAATAAAAAAGAAAACAGCGTACAGAATTAAATCAGCTGTTCCGTTCTTTTCTATTCTCCTGGATAAAATGCATGTTGCAGTTATAATGCAGACTATGAAATGCAGGAAAATTAAATGTTTGGTTTCTAGAGAGATCAATTTATCTTCATAACGGACTCTAGTCCCAGACTGAAAGAGCTCTCGGATATTTCTGCAACACATCACTTTTCAAATAGGAAGCGAAGCACGTTTGACTAGACGCCCATTTCACAAGATGAATGTTATGAGCAGCACATTGAATTAGATGTGTACATTCTTGTGACGAGAGGAGGTTTTCCTTGGGATCCTCAAGGTGGGGAGCTGCCTCGGGGACTGCCGATGAGAGCAGGTTGGTCGTTTATCAAACACATCGGTGACGGCCACCTAGAAATCAGTTTCGAGGACGCCTCCAATTTAGTAACAGTTGGTCGTGCTGCACCTTTAAGTTTTCCTGAGTTTCACAGCCTTATTTCCAGCACGTTTCTGACGTGGTAATCCGTGGCTATCAATAATTGTGGTGCCCTCCTGTGGCGCAGCCACGCGGGACTCAGTCCTGTTCCCGCTGTTCTCACGCAGCGTCTCTGCCCCATCCACGCAGTGCCAACGCGCTGGACTCTCTTGCTCACACGAGCACAGAGGAGCGGGAAGGGAGATCTTTTTCACGTGATTCGTAGCAGTCACTCAGAGGCGTGCGTGTATGTGATCAGGCGTGTGTGCCTGATGGGCGTGCTTTTCCACGCGTGAGTGGCAGGAAGAGTGGACGCACTGAGCTCAGCCGACTGGCTGTGGGTGAAGTTTAATAGTGAGGGACAGGAGGCCGACCTGACGCCCTGCCCGGCCGCCTCCCAGCCTCACTTAGCTGTTAGCACCCACGCTGCAGTGGAGGCCGCGTGCCCCTGCTCATGGCGCGCCATGTCTCGTTGCAGCTGATAAGCTCTGTGAGCTTGCTGGCGAGCACTGCCTCCCCTCCCTGCTCACTGCGCGCTGTGTCTCGTTGCAGCTGATAAGCTCCATGAGCTCGCTTGCAGAGCACTGCCTCCCCTCCCTGCTGCGCACCCTGTTCGACTGGTACAGACGCCAGAATGGAGCCGAAGACGAGTCTTACGAGTACAGGCCTCGATCCAGCACCAAGTCCAAGGGGTGAGCTGCTTATTTTCAGTTTTTCCTGGAACAAAACTCTCCTAAGGGGTAACAGTGGTATCCATTGGTTATTACTATGGTTTGGTTTCTAAGCAAAAGGTACGGATCGCTTTTGTGGCGAAGGTGAAGTAAGAAGGGAGGAGCATTTATTCCCCAACTGTGACTCAAGGGAAGTACCAGTTAAACGAGGTCCCATCAGACTGTGCGCGCCGCTGCAATAGTGACGCGGAAACTGCGGTGGTCGCCCACTCACAGGGTGTGCTCCACGGCCAGTGAGGGTCTGATGGCACAAACATGCCAAACCCCGGTGTGCGGTGC